TGTGATAGTTCTTTGATTATATTTCATCCATTTGACTTCTTTCCTCATCTAATTGATTTCTAACACTCTCAAATATTCATATCTTCATTTTGCCTTCCGAACCAACTTTTGGATATTTGCAATTTAGTCATTGAACTTTCGTTTTCCTCATTTTTGGTCATTTTTCACTTGTTTCTCTTTATTTCCACTGCATTCATCATTCTGTCCTGCAAAACATAAATTGTATAGAATTTAAGTATATTCCAATTAATGAACAATTTCTCATGTTTTGATAGTAAAATAAGTATGTAAAAACACAATTATCATGTACATCTTCTAATACGGTGCAACATCAAACATCGTATTAGAACAATCCTCCTTAATCCACCTTTAGTACAATCCCTTAATCATTTTCCCTAATGTAATACGGTATACCAAACATACAATACAAGTCTTTATTTTTAGGTTCGTTGCCACCCAATTATGAATTTGATGGTAAAATGAATTCTGGCTGCACATGCCCTATTAAATGATCCTGTTGGGATGTACTAAAAATCAGTGTTCTAAAAGACTTACCTAAGCTTAGGGCTTGGAGAAAGCCTCTCCTCGCTTTTAGACTGGAAAATAGACAACCAACTCTACATTGACCGTTTAAGACGTGTCTAGACAAAAAAAAGGTATGCACCTTTTTCTGACTATTGCAATTTTCTTGTTTTGAAGTTCAACTCAATAAAATGCTCAATGGTAGCTAAAACTTAAAAAAGAAATCAGTTTGATAAAAAAAAATAATCCTAGTCCGAACTTTTTTTTCATTTTTTATTATCCATGTACAAAGCATTATTGTTGGAAACTAGAAAAATATAAGTGAAATTCCTACATATTTTCAAGGTATGCATTTATTTTTTATTTCTTTATTAGTTTATAATAGTCAAAATAATTTTAAAAATAAAAATTTATCTTATTACACTTAAACTCATAAATGACCTTCACGCTCGTGCCTTTTTTGGTATAAAATTACAAAGTGTAGAGGCAAAATTGAAATGAAATAAATAACTTCAAATCTATCAAAAATGGAGTTAAATGTTTCATTAGTCATTGAACTTATAATTACATCACGCTCTATCCAGTGAACTTTAAAATGATTTGAAGTTGTCACTAAATTTTGTGACGTTGCATTACATCACTCACTTACCATGTTTCATAAGTCACTGAACTTTAAACTACTTTCGAGTGGTTATTGAACTTTAATACATTGTACTCCGTCACTCACTTACAATATTCATTAGTCACTAAACATATACATTAGTCACACATTGCTCACTAAATTTTAAAATGCTTTCATTTAGTTACTGAACTTCATAATATTTTTGAGTAAAAGTGATTTTCTATGAGATTCAATGTAGATCAAGGAAAATAAAAAAATATCGACTAGATAATGAACTCCCAATCTAAGACCAGAATATTGATATTGGTCAAGAAAATATAATTTTTCTAGTCATCATATGATATGTTTAAGGGAAGAAAAGAATGCTAACAAATTTACATAAATCTTAATTTGGATCATAATCTTCATATACCTTGAGAAAATAAAGTAATAAGTTATTTTTTTAGATTGAGACTGTCGACCTAAATTAAGAACATAAAAAAATATCTAAATACTTTTTTAGAGTCAATGATATTAATCAAGACTACAAAATATAACTTATAGAGTTTTCACAAGATAATTCAAGATGAAATAAGGGCACCGTCTTCATGTGTGATATTTTATACTTCAAAATTTTTAATTTTTGAACAGTTGAATTGAATGAGTAAAGTTTAGCGATCACTTGAAAGCATTTAAAATTCAGTGAATAGTATAAGTTCAATGACTAATGAAATGATAGGTGTAATTTCTATACCTATTTAGACTATAAAAAGTGAATATTTAGGCATTTATTTGAATTGACTAATACTTAATTTGTTTAAATATCGATTATTGTAGGAAAAAACCAAAATTTGAATGCACTTGGAGTGAAATAGGTGAAATTGGAGCTTAAATGGAAGATTGTCAAAGTTTGGGGGACTAAAATGCAAATATCAAAATTTTTTATGTCCATATGTCGATGATTGAAAAAAGTGAGGAGTCAATTAGATGAAAATAGAAAACAACGTATTGAAATTGCATGAAAAAGGACCAAATCAACCTTGAAAGAAATTTAGGGACAGTTTCTATAACCATGCGTGTGCATGGTGTAAATGGGATTAATGCATTCCCGAGGCCAAATTTGCTGAACCATCCTCATGCATGAAAGTATACCAAATGTGAGAATGGGGTACTTTATGGGCAAAAGGAAACTTTCCTTTTATGATTGAAACTCCTTTTTGAAACCAAGTTTAAACTTTTTTTTGATCTAAATTCTACCCTTATAAATGCAGAATACCTCTCATAATCTCTCATATTATATAATTCATCAAATATTACAATCAAAGGGAGGCAAACTATCATTCTTTTTATAAAATCAAGAGGAGAGCTACAAGAATTCAACTATTTGAAGATTCAATCTTGATTTTTGGATAAAGAAGGAAAATGTGCAACTAGTGACATTCAAGACCTTCAAGATTCTTCCTCTTTTTCTTCATTCATATAAAATTCGAGCCATCTTCTACAAAACAATTATGATTTTTTTTTGTAACTTTGTAATGCTAGGCTAAATTTTTATTTACTAAGATACAGATAAACCATTGTTATGAATTCTTAATATAATTTCAATATTTTGATGCCTACTACGTGTTTACTCTTCAATGATTGTTATATGGCTTTATACTTTTTAATCACTTGATTACTAATTGAATTAATGTCTGAATTTTATTGTTATCGAAAGAAACAATAAAATAGATACTATGTTGTAACAATTGTTGTGAGTTTCGATATGCATCTATATCTTGCATCATTTTAATAAATATTCTAGTGCTTTAATGGATACTTTCATGTTAGCATCTTTTTAATAAAAAATATAAGAAGGTCACTTGAGATGATAGATTTAATTTTACTCGAAAGAGATTATTAAGTAATTTAAAAACATTGACCAACAAGAATAATACATATTGTCATGTTATTGAATTGCATTAAATTGGATTAATAAGGTGATTTGAAGTCTAAGTAAGCATTCAACCTAATTTTATTTAAAAAAAAAAAACCTTCATAATTTGATGCATTATAATATTTAGCTCAAAGAGTTAATTAGTATGAATTATTCATTCAAACTTGACTATTCGATTAGAGTTAGCATTAATTGATCCTAGATTAAATGCATAGTTTTAATAGGATGATACTCTCTTCATCAATTTATGACGATGAATTATAACTTGTTAAAGTTCAATATTTACTCGAAAGTATTTTAAAGTTAAGTGAGTAAAACGTGACATGCATAAATTTAACAAGTCATAAAACATTTTGACTCATCAAAAATGTTTTCAAGTCAACTGTGAATTCCTAGTCTCGGGTTTCTTATCAGTAATGCTCTAACTTGGACATTTGCTTGCTGCAATGGAGGACTACTCTCTTCCTCAGGACTCTCTCTTCCTTGGGTTTGACTGCTCTACTCAGTAACTCTCTCTCTCTCCTCTCTTTCTCACTTTATCTCAAATTTCCTCTGGTTAATGCCTTGATTACTACATATTGTATTGTATTTGATGCTTTCTTGTGGATAACTCAAAACCCATAATCCTATAAGTGATTAGTTGTTCCGTGAATTTATAATTTTTTCACCTCTTTTTCTGTGAAGGATTAAATCTTGAACCTTTTGGTAATTTATTGATTTCGGGTCTTTTTTTAAAAGAAAATGGCAATTTTTGATAGCTTATAGCATAAAAATGAACCTTTGACTGAAAAAATCTACGATGATTGATTGATTGTATGATTAGGTCACTGAAGGCAACTGTTTTAGATGCCACCCTCAACATTTTTGCAACAGAGATAGTTACTTTTGATTCTGAGTTGCCCCATTACAAAACGAAAGATGGTGTTTACCGGGATCCTTTGGTGAATGGGAGGATTGTTTCGCCCCCTTTAATGTGGGTGGAAGCATTGGATCTCATCCTTGAAAGATTTGTGAGATCGAAGTTGAATTTTGGAAGGATTATTGCAGTTTCTGGTAGTGCACAGCAACATGGTAGTGTGTATTGGAAAAATGGGAGTTCTCAGATATTATCCTCATTAGACTCCACGAAATCACTGGTGGATCTACTTAGTAATGCATTTTCGGTAACCGAATCTCCTATATGGATGGACTGCAGCACGACCCAGCAATGCAGAGCCATTGAGAAAGCTGCTGGAGGTGCTTTAGAATTGTCGAAGCTTACTGGCTCTTGTGCTCATGAGAGATATGCAGGACCGCAAATTAGGAAGATATTTGAGACACAGCCTCAAGTTTATCAAAATACGGAGAGGATTTCCCTAGTTAGCTCCTTCATGGCATCTCTCCTTATCGGAAACTATGCCTGTATTGATCAAACTGACGGGGCTGGGATGAACCTGATGGATATTAAGCTAAGATCCTGGTCTAAAATAGCTTTAGAGGTTTGTTTCTTTGCATCCCAACGTACTTTTCTTAGTACTTTCTATTTTATCATCAAAGAGTGTCTCATCGCCGGTTATTTATGAAAATTGTGCACGTCTTTGGCATTTGATTAAGAATGAATCCTGCCATGAAAACTATTGTTAAATAAATAAATGAATCTCCTCTAGAAGCATAAGCTTTTAGACAAGCCGGTTCAACAAGAGTAAATGTTGCTCATCATATGATGACTATCTTGGTGCTAAGCAGTTAATCTTTAATGTCGTCTTTTTTTGCCTACGTTATTACAGGCCACAGCTTCAGGTTTGGAGGAAAAGCTTGGAGATTTAGCTCCTGCACATGCAATTGCAGGTTCCATGGCTTCCTATTACGTGGAAAGGTTGAAGCATACACTGCAATGTTAGTTTTTGTTGCAGTTCATGTTCTTGTGATCATTGTCATATACATATTCCTGTAAAATGAGATATATATTCAAAAGATCTATATATAATTTGGGGTCTTATTGCTATTAGTAATGTTGATTCGTGTCCATCTGCTTTTATGTTCGCTTGATTGTAATTGAGTGAAGCATCCTTAAGAAAAAGTACATAAAGCTCCTTAATTTATTAGCATCAATGTGAAATCTGTTTGTTTTCTGATTAATTTATTTTTTTGTTTATTACGTGTAATAAATCCATGTACCTCTGCTTCTAAAGTATTATATAAAATGCCTTTCAGATATCACTTCAACAAGAATTGCTTCGTCGTGCAGTGGTCCGGAGACAACCCTAACAGCTTGGCTGGTGGATTATTTCTTTTTTACTTTCTTTTCATTTTTTTTAACTGAAAACTAATGTTTGACGCATCAGCATATTCCAATCAATGTTTTGCCATATATTCTTCTTTCACTCCTGTGGTTCAGGAAATTCAAAAGAATGTATTACAATTTGTTCTTATTCTACTGCACTACTAGTGTCAATTCCGATGTAGTTATTTTCTATCTTGTCTTATAATCATCATTGACCAAGCATTTTGAATATGTAGGGTTGACCCTCAACACTCCAGGAGACCTGGCAATTAGCCTTGGCACTAGTGACACGGTAAGTTTATAATCTTGAATTTGTCAATGTATGATAGAAGCTCTTCTGGAATAAATATTCCGCCACTTGTGACCCGGAGGTGGATTAGAAAAGGCTTTGCCCTTCACCTGAGGGATCTTGTTTTCCCTCTCTGCTATTTCCAACTTTGCTCCCCTTATTTGACCTAAGAAGCCTAAGGGAGGTCCGAGAAAGAAAGTCTTGTTCTCTGGGTTAGCTTACCGAAGATCTGGTTGAGTGTGCAAAATATAGTAATTGAGTATGAATATCATCTGTGGTAAGTCCATATCCTCAGAATAATTCAGATGGTATATATGGTCTAGATACAATGTCTTGACACTGCCCAATTATCATGACTTTTTAAACTTTTTTGTGGAATGGCCAACTAGATGTTCTTGCGTTTGCTTTAGTTTGTTTCTAGATTATATCTGGCTGCAAGAAACAAAAATATCGCGATTAGCTTCAGCCTTACATAGATTGTATGGCAGGTGAGATAAAAGAATATTCAGATTGCACGGGCCTTGCATAGTGAATCAGAAACATGTATAATTAACTGTCTTTCATTGCTTCAGCTGCTATTAACCTTTAGTCTTTCCACATCTTAATTATGTCGGTTATCAATTCAATTTTTTTTTCTAGAAGCATAAAATTTAAGGTTGTTAAAGTGCCAAAGAAGCATAACTTTTGACTACATGATCACAGAAAAATATTTTGGACAGTCATGGAGCAGGAAATTTATAACATTTCAACATATAGCATACAATCATATTTTTAGCTTCTGTTCATTTGATTTGTAACAATATTGATACCCGTCAGTCTCTCAGGTGTTTGGGATAGCCGCAGACCATAAACCAAGCCTTGAAGGACATGTATTTCCTAATCCAGTAGATACAAAAGATTATATGGTAATGCTTGTCTATAAAAATGGATCTTTGACTCGTGAAGGTACCCTTTACGTATCTGGTATTTAAGACTGCAAGTTTTGCTAAACTGGAATTTGGATTCTTATTGACAATGCTACACAATCTTGATAGATATTCGTAATAGATGTGCGAGGAAATCTTGGGAAGTTTTCAATACATATTTGCAGCAAACACGACCTTTAAATGGTTAGTTCGATTGATAAATTGGCCTGCATAGGTGAATTTGTTGCAGTTCCTAACCCTTCAGTGCTTACAGGTGGAAAGATAGGTTTTTACTACAAGGAGCACGAAATTCTTCCGCCACTCCCCAGTGAGTTTACTGTCAATATACTACTAATCTGCCTATGCAACTACTTTTCTTGAAAAAGAACTAGGCATTGCGTCCCCCCCTCCCCCCCTCTCTCTCTAACCCTTGAATGATTGCTATGGCCAATTGAGTAATATTATGTCGAGTATCTCCTCAAATGATTTGCATCAACACTAAGCTAAGGCATGCCTAAGAAAAAAAACTCTCTTCCCTCTCCCTTAAGCTATTGTATCGACACTAAGCTATTGCATTGACCGGTAGCTTATTTTTGTCACACTGTCTCTGTTACTGAAACCACATTAGACTCTACCCCACTTTCTCATAGATTATACATGGTTTTTCTTCATTGTCCATTAAGTTTATGATTGCCAAACTTGGTGAAGGGGAATTAAAGAGATGCTTCATTGCATTTCTAATGCAGAAGGCCTGCCCACAATGTTTTTCCATTTCTGTATCATCAGTTGAAATGTAATCAAGAAAGTAGATGTTCTTGAACATAACTGCTTACAATGTTTTCTGGAAAGCTGCACTACTGGTCCCCAGTTTATTGTCCCAGTAGCTGGTCGATCTCCAACCTATAAAATAAAGTAGATAGGTCCCCAACCTTTCATTATAATTGCACAGTTAGTGCTCAATGAAATCGTCAAAATATCGGCCAAATCATCACTTGATGTGACCTTCACATGCCCAACTTTATGTAATCTAGGTTTTGCTTCTCAATTTGGAGTCATGTTCGAAATTTTTAAGTAATGTACATTTTCATGAGAGAATTTGATGCAGGATGAATTAGAATTTAGGGTGAACTAGAATTAAAGCCAAGAAGTTAGAAAGCAAGCAAGAAGAAGAAGCAAGAAGAAGAGGGGAGGAGGAGGAAGAGGGGAGAAAACGGGCTGCAAGCCACTCTTTAATTCATTATATTCATCAACTGTCTAAATTACAATATGAAAATCATATAAATAGTGAAAACCTAGCTAGTAACGGGTTTGAGCCAACTCACTTCTACAAACCCAATAACAATAAAAATAGAAAACATAAATGATAAAACCCAATAACAATAAAATTAAATCTTGACTGATAAAACCCAACAATAATAAAATTAAGTCTCGATGATGTCCGCATCAACTCTCCCGGGGTGGGAGAAAATCGACCCTGTCGAGTGGATAAACTTCGACCACGGGGGACGATCTTTCGTAAGAACTAGATATCGAAACTCAACAAATGATGCCAACGCCAGTTGCAAATTGTCCCCAAGAATATGATCTGCATAAGGTGGAACTACCTAACGAGTAAGGAAGCACCAAATTTCTCCATCATTGGTCAACACAATCTGTTCATCTAAAATGACATCGAATGTATCTTTGTGTCCTGTAACAGATGGTATGGAAGTAGAGATATCAACATAGACAGGTTGGGGTTCCATAGAGCTAAATAGAAAATGATCATCAAAGAAATTGAAATGATGTTTGTAAGTAATGAAGTCCTCAATATTTAAAGTAGAGTGATAGTCAAAATGTGATAAAAGATGAATGACATGTGTATTTGGACCAACATGCTTTACAATTTTAAAAGAACCAGCACTACGAGCTTGCAACATAACATAATCCCCAATATTAAATTCAAAGTGTCGTTTATGCAAATCATCTTGAAGTTTAAATGATGCATTGCTTCAAATTGTTTATTGATCTCAATATGCAAGTCATGATGTTGTGCAAATGCTTCAGCTGACATAGACACTCTAACATGTGGGGACATGAGAATAATGTTTAAAGGCTTCACAGACTCGTAATTAAGAATAACTTCAAAAGGACTCATACTTACAGACCGATTCACAAAATTTTTATATGTACTTTGAACTGTTGGGACGATCAAATCCCAATTCCCAAGAATGTCCTTGAAAATGGCAAGATTACGGAAATCAACAGCACGTCTGGGTTGGATAAGGGTACGGCATACAACATTTGACTGAGAGATATCGGGAACAAGGGGTATAATACCTAGATTCATAAGAAAAGTCCGATTACTACCTAAGGAGGTGTTCTCACTATCATCAAAGTCATCGGGTTCTTCAAGTTTAGGTACAAAGACTTGATCATCTAAGCTTTCATCTATTATATTCTTTTATCTTCAATAACTAAGGTTCGACTAGGACATTTGGAAGAGATGGGGCCAAAGTCTTTATAGTTGAAGCACTGTAAGTGAGAAGAAGTCCTTGAAATTTCAGAAATTGTACTCTTATTTTTTAACACAGGAAGAACATTTGACGGGAAATGTCTCCTAATAGACTTAAGAGGAAGTGGCGATGAGGATATTAGTGTATAGTTGTCACCACGCATTTTATATAGAGTACTAATAATCAACTCAAAATCTTGGGCTAAAGAGTAAGCCTGATCAAGAGTAATGACACCTCGAAGGAAAAGTTCACGCCCAAGATCATCTTTTAGACCTTGTCTAAACCTACTTACAGTCATGGTCTCATCCTCAATGACATGACATTTCATTCGAAATTCCTCAAATTCAGCAATATACTCAGTCACTAACCGATTCTCTTGTTTAAGGGCAGTCCTAACTCATTTTTAGAGTTTTAGATTGTAACCATCAAAAGTAGAAACACCTACTTTATTGTTTCTAAATGAATGCTCCTTATGACGTGGAAGAAAATGAATACTGTAACGGTCATAACCTCGTTTTCGCTCATGAACTTGACCCCTATCCCTACGACCGTGTCGAAAATATTTTTGATCACGTTGTCGGCAATGATTTTGTCTATTATAGGACACGTCAAACTTATCAACATCAGTCGAGTGAGGGATTTGCTTAAACTTGTTCAGACCAGCAGTTAGGCTCCTACGCTCTTCACGATTAGCAACCATTCCAATTTGGACAGCCGCTAATTGATTTTGGAACTGTTGTTGGTTAGTGGCAAATTGTGCTAATTGTTTGGTGAGGGCATCAAATTGGGATGGGTCCATGGTCAGATTATTGGAAATATATATGACTAGATGACTACTACGCAACTGTAGGCAATGTACCACCAACTACATGACGTGCAATGAAGAGATCAATGAACAATAAGTGCAAGCAAATAATAATTTGAGCATTTTTTTTTTTGAAACTTTGGGATTAAATGAAGCCAAATACGGCAAGCTAATACTGCTGATACATTTAAAATAACAAAGCACGTCCAATACTAGTCAAAAACCCATCACGTAAAATAAGTGGGGTAAAATGAGAATTTAACAAGTTAAGGGGTTCGGTCACGTGAATTTTAGGTAAACTTAGAATGACAGCAGCACAAAGGAATTAATTGATGCAATTTTAAAATAAACAGTAATATAAACCAACGATAAATAAGCAGTAGCTCCCCTGTTGTTCATCGAAGTAAGTGAGTACCAAGAAATTAATCTCCAAAGACAAGAAACAGTAGCTCCCGTTTTTGCTGCTGAAGTAACCGCGCCAATCAACAGATGAAAGAGAAGCGTACCTACAAAATGTTAGAAAAAGAACTTTTTTTTTTTTTTGCTCTCTTTTTGTCTTTTTTTTTTTTGTCTTTCGTTCCTTTTTTTTTTNNTTTTTTTTTTTAACTAAAACAAATTACACAGTATAATAAAATAGGAGCCCAAATCAAGGCCCAGAGGCAAGATGAATAAGACAAAAACCGAGGCCCAATTGACAAAAATACTCTTTTTTTTTTCCGAAACTAAAAGATATTACACTAAAACTGAGGCCCAAATCAAAACGTATATATATATTTTTTTAAAACAACTTAACATGCCCAAATTAAAACTAAAGCAAATGAATAAATAAGGGCCCAAACCAAACCCAATTACTAGATAATGGACTTGGAACAAAAACCAAACGGAGGCCAAAGTCGCGTCCAAGGCTGGATCTTGTGAATCGGAGCGATTTTTCTGGGTGGTCGGCGGCTGCGGTGGTGGTTCACGACCCTGGGAAGTTGCAGGCGGGGCGGTTTGTGGGCGGGTGTGATTGTATTGGGGTGGTGCGGTTCGGGTTCGGCTGATTTGATGCAGCTGGTAAGATCCGGGTCACTGTCGGCAGCTTATCGAAGGATTGTCGATTACTGTATTATGGTTTGAGGCGCTGAAGGAGATGATACTGGGCAGATTTTGTAGCTTGGGCTGTAGGTGGAGTATGTAATTGGTGGTGCGTATGTGGGTTACTGTATGGATGATTCTATGGTGGCGTAATGCAGTGATATATTAATTATGGGCAACGAGAGTAATTGTTTGTTTCGCCTGTGGTGGAACTGGGCGTTTTCAAAATTACGGTGGCCAGGTGATGGGAAATGGATTGCAGCAGCGGGTGATGTATATATTGGTTGTGTATTTGTAATGGATGACGAAGTATTACCCAGGTTTAGCTCTGATACCAAATTTGATGCAGGATGAATTAGAATTTAGGGTGAACTAGAATTAAAGCCAAGAAGTTAGAAAGCAAGCAAGAAGAAGAAGCAAGAAGAAGAGGGGAGGAGGAGGAAGAGGGGAGAAAACGGGCTTCAAGCCACTCTTTAATTTATCATATTCATCAACTGTTTAAATTATAATATGGAAATCATATAAATAGCGAAAACCTAGCTAGTAACGGGTTTGGGCCAACCCACTACTATAAGCACAATAACAATAAAAATACAAAACATAAATGATAAAACCCAATAACAATAAAATTAAGTCTTGATGATGTCCGCATCAGAATGGTGATAATTTACTTGGACCTGTGGAGCAGAAGTGCATTTTCCCCCCACTTGACATGACCTTTGCATCAACATGACCTTCACATGCCCAACTTTATATGAAGCCAGATTTTGCTTCTCAATTTGCTCATGGTCAAAATATAGAAGTGATTTGTATTTTCATTAGAGATGTGTAACAACTTAATGAAGATTTGTACACGTGACCAGCAGTGCTTTCGCCCTAACTTTTTATAGTACTCAAACTTCCATGATGTGTATCCAGTTGGTGAGCACCGCTACGTTGTTGATAATTTCAAGAACGACTTTGTGGATGGACCACGAGAACATGAAGTTGGGGAGTTTGATGCTCCGTCAGAGGTTTGTAGCCTTAGATAGAGATCCTCACTCATTATGACTGATGAAAATTGGCTGAATTATACTGTACATGTCTCTTCAAGTTGAAACGAGATTAAAGAAATATACACTTGCAGGTTCGAGCATTAATAGAGGGGCAAATGCTCTCGATGCGAGCTCATGCCGAGAAAATTGGAATGCCTTCTCCTCCAAGGCGGATAATTGCTACCGGTGGAGCATCCGCAAATAATTGCATCCTAAGCTTGATGGCTTCCATTTTTGGGTGTAATGTATACACCGTCCAAAGGCCAGGTAAACAGTAATTTCTGGTCTAGTTTTTAATGCAAACCTATAATTGCTTTTGTAAAATAGACATATCGTAATACTAAGATCTTGAATTACAGTTCTGCTTGTGTACTTGACAGTTTAAAAAACAGTTTTCCCTCCAATCCCAGTGTACATTTAGCATTTTTGCTTGAATTATTATGAATGAGCACCCAATGATGACTTTGCAGACTTTCTATTCATAAAATTCTTGTTAAATTGAGAATAAAGTTTTCATTCAGATCATGAAAAATGTTATCTTGCTTCACAGATTCAGCTTCTTTGGGGGCTGCATTAAGGGCTGCTCATGGTTGGTTGTGCCACAAGATGGACGATTTTGTACCGATATCATGCATGTACATTGACAAACTGGAAAAGACATGTCTGAATTGCAAACTTGCTGCAACTGCTGGAGACGAAAAACTTGTGTCCAAATATGCTTTACTGATGAAGAAAAGAGTTGAAATTGAAAACCAACTCGTCCAAAAACTCGGTAGATTGTGAAACTAATTTTTTTGCTCTTAGCATTAATAGTTTCTTTCTCATTGCTGATACTTTGATCATGTCATGTAATGGGGTCATGCCAGACCGGCATGACTCTCATTTTTGACACGGGCCTATATTTGGTTAGTCAGGCTATTTCTTGTATGCCCATGAAAATAGTTAACAAGTAAAAATTTAAAGGATAAACTGCATGCGAACATTTTCGAGAACAATCAAATAATGCTCGAGCCCAATGAAATAAGTGAACATTTATAACGCGAGGTCTTGAAATCAAACTTCGAGTGGGAATGGCGAAGCATATATACTTAAATTTGGTTACATTAGTTATTCCACCTCGGCAAAAATTGTTTACAAAGCACACATGAATGAGTGTAAATAGTGACTTCATAGCCAATCAATGAGGGACATGTAGGCTAATGAATCAAACTTGAATATTTAGCAGATTCAGTTAGAAGTCAGTCAATCAATAATTGTCAAGTCTGGTCCAAAAATGCTCATTTACTTCCAAGGCCTGATTAGAAATCCATAAATAGGTATAGTTGGGGATGAAGAATGACATACAAAATAGAGTATATTTCTTTCAAATGATCATTTCTCCTCTTACTTTTATTTGAGCATTAATGGAGAGTTTAAGAGAGGAAAGTTCTAGTTAGGTGAGAGGAATTTGTTTATTAGTATTTTATGGTTCGAAAATGAGTCGACAGAAGGCAAAAATTGCAGAAGTGGAAGCGCCAGAGGTAAGCGTCTATATTCTCAGTGAAAGTCGGGAAGATCGTTATATAAATCTAAAGCAGCAGCTGTTGGAGTCTCTAGTCAAAATGCCCACATCTGTTTTCCTAGTTAAATATCGTCGCCAGCGGCAGAAGACTAGTACAGCAATCATAAAAGAAATGGCTGAGAGCCTTATAGCATTGACCGCGGAGAATGCTTTCTTGTGGACAATAGCAACTAATCCGAAGGTCGACTTACGTCTAGATTTTGGAGAGAACAATCCAGAACATACAGCAAGTTATTACCATTTCGTAAGAACTAACCAGAATGTCCGGTTATCAAACTTGCCAAACAATTTACCTCGCAGGCAACGACATGACCGTCGAATCAACAGACTCCCAAGCGTATTTGACAGGCTAGGAGAAGAGGTAAAACATGGAAGGGTGTATAACCATAAATTATCATAATCGTCATGGTTTGTTTGAGGCCCATTTTTTGTCAAAGAATGCATTTTTGGATGGTGTATTGATGAAAAATGTTTAATTAAAAAATAAGAAAAAAATTTGAGTTTGCGTATGATATTATTTTATTAAAGAATACGTGGTTAAAAATGAGGTCAAAATACTATTCAAGAATGCAGTTTTCTCGAGAAATGGGGCTCAAACAAATGGAAATGTGGGAAGCTTACTAAATCCTTGTAGTGTCCCAAATTTTTGAATTTAAATCGCTACCAAACGTTTCATTAAAAAAATTTACAGGACAAATAATTACTAATAAATTTATGTAAAGGTGGTTTAAACAAGATTAATTTAAAATTTTCCATATTCTTTACTTTATCTATTTATCACCTAATGAATGCATATCATGAAAATCTCACCCAAGATGATCTTTAAAAATGAACAAGAAACTTACATTTACAAAAAGGAAGTTCACAATTAATGCGTACAATTAGTGTCCCTAAATTTGCAATTGCGAGAATCTTAAATAAGTTTATCGATCAATTTCTCCTAACAAGTTACACTAAAATCTAATTCTCTTACATTATTTATGCACACCACGTTTTGTTATACATGCTAGACAAATAAATATACGATAAAATATTGATTTCACAAATTCGACATCACATACAATGTAATTCATAATCAAAACGTGTTCCAAGTTCAAATGAAGGAACGAGATAAATAAATTAACAAAATAAGGTTACTGCTAGAAATATAAAATATTTAGCCACATTACAACATATTTATTTTATTATGTACAATAAATCCATGCACAACGACGACACCTCACCCCTGTCAACCAACGACCCGTTCTAACATGTGAAAGGTAGGGGAAAATGTGAGTATATCAGATGAGCATAAAAATACTCAGGAGGATACGAGTAATTGTACAATCCCGAATAAAAATATCAATTCACCATATCATATAAGTTTATAATATAACACATCTTGCTACCAGATGAGCATATTATATTATATTATATTATATCGTAACTTTTATTAGCATAATATTTATCAACATGAAGAAATAAAATTAAACGGGGCAAACCTAGTTGCTTCTCGTAATCATACTTTAAATATTTGAAACTCTTGATTTGCTACTCACAAAATTTTAGATTTTGTACATCTTGAAGCTGCCCAAACATCTATAAAAAAATTTGCATTCTTCCTAAAAGATTGAGGATTTTGAAGGTATTTTTTTTACTTGTTTTGCTGTTGCAAATAAAAAATAATTATATAGTGGAAGATAAACTAAGAGATATTTGAAATGGGGAAAAGAAACGCGAGTTTATGGGATAATGTGAGATGGTTAGAAGTTAGTGAAAACATGAAAGACAATAGGTAAATTTATCCAACTAGCAAATAATATATAAAATAACAAACATACACACACCCACTTGCACGCATGCGCGCACACACATGGCTACTATATCAAAGGGTTCAAAGTTACGTGTACATGGGAAATTGAATTCGGTGGTTAAAAGGAAATAACAAATAAGATATATCAAATCTTTTTCAAATTTAAAGATAAATGTTGATTTATATAATATAATATTACTTTCTTTTCCTAATTATCTTAAAATTTATTGCATTAAGTAATAAAATAATACCCATTAAATACGATCTTTGAATTGAAATAACTTAGATTTAAGTAGTGGTGGCAATGGGCCAAGCCGAGCTGCCTCGGCCCATGCCCGCACCAGCTCACGAGTTGAGCTTAAGCTCGGCTCGTAGGGTTTTGGGTGAGCTTGTAAAAAACGAGCAGCTCGGCGAGCTTTTCGCTCGGCTCGTGGGCGAGCTCGGCATATTTATCTTGAATTCAATAATTAGCGTATTCCCAATCCTTCACGCACATTAACGCTTCCAAAATATCTTCTTTTAGTCGACTCCTGACCTCAGAAAGAGCCCTCTTCCTTGCACTAAAAGTAGACTCCGAAACTACAGTACTAACCAGAGGTGTTAATAGATCTTTTGCAATTGTAGAAACTATTGCCATCGACGTTTGTCATTTCGGCATAATTCAATGACCTCTTCTGAACTTTTCCTAACTGATTTGTTATTCTGAACTTCTCCTAACTGATTTGTTACTAGGCAAAGTATGAGTAAAGTAATCAATTAATTTAGGTGGCAACGAATTTGGACTAGTCTCAAAGTTTGAGTACATGCAATGGAAGAGAAACTACTACTACTACTACTACTACTAAAGGAACCATATACATATGTAGTTGAATCATATCTATATGAGTTCATATTTTCAAATAAATTTAAAATTTCAGCGTCATCATCTGTTATATTAGCAAGATGAGCAGTTATAGGTACACGAGTAATATGTGTACCCATTCGTGAAGCATATAATTCATACATCTCACTTAACGTTTGTTCCAAATTCCTATAAGGAATAGGTATATTAAAAGTTAAAGCATTAGAAATTTGATCAATTACAAATTTAGTACCCGATAAATTATATCGGAGTTCCATGACGCATGCTAAAGGAAATAACATAGGTAATTCTTCCCAATATTTTCTAAATTTTAATTCCATGGAATATATAACTGCATGAAAGTCGGGATCATTTTGAAATCTCATAAAAGCCCTAGCAGTTATATAAAGACGTTCCAGAACCATACAACTGGTGGGATAATAAACACCACACAATATATTTATAGACTCATAAAAACTTCCCAAAAAAGTTTTAATTTTAAAAACTACATTCCAATCGGATTTATTCAAGATATTATCGTATTCGTCTCTAACATGCCTATTGTTATAAAATTCAGTAAAAAATGCTTCAAAACCTTCACATGATTTTAATAATAACTAAGTTGAGTTCCATCTATGGCATACGTCAGTAATAAATATTTTTGTATGCGTCTTCCCACCTTCCTCACAAAATTCCTCAAATGCTTGTTTTCTACTAGGTTTAATCGTGATATATATATAAGTGCATTCCTAATTCGGTTAATTTCATCCTTAACAAGTTTTAAACCGTCTTGTACTATTAAATTAAAAATATGGCACACACATCGAATATAAAAAAAATAACCACTGAAATCAGGTTGAAGTACTCTATGCAATTTATCGATAACAACCTTATTTACAGTAGCGTGGTCAAACATAAAAGAACTAATTTTACTCTCACATTTATATTTTCTAATTATTAACATAATAACATTAAATGTAGGTTGAGTGTTATGCGGGTACTCAACAATTTTAAAAACAATAATTTTTTTATGCATGACCCAAAGTGAGTCTATATAGTGTGCAGTTGTAGCTATATAACATCTCTTATTAATCCATTTCTACATATCCGAATTTAAAAATATCACACCCCCATATTTTTCTAAGTTTGCAATCAATAGTTTCTTTGAATTAAGAAAATATTTAATTGTATTAGACCGAAGAGTATTTTGACTTACCCCAACGTACCTCGGTTGAAGATATTATTTGACGTAGTTTACGAAATGTTGGTTATCCGCTATTGCTAGTGGCAACTTCGTCGTGGCAACGAACTTCACCATTCCCGTTCGAGCTTCGTCCTCTGAATACATCCACGTAGAAAGTGGCGTAGTAGTAGCACTGGCACCTGGAGCACAAAACTTTAGTTGCGTTTGACCAGCAGGAAGAAGACCACGTTTGGCCGCACAGTTTTTGTAGTGACGGTTGAGGTGGGTAGTTCCAATACCTTTTTTCCATGCCAGTCGTTGTTGGTAGTATTTACATACTGCTTTGGTTTCTGGAAGTCCATCGACCATATGACCAGTATGAATCAATTTGAAATGGTCCCAACAT